GGTGTGCGATACGTGAGCATCCCTGGGTGCCCGTCTGGGTGACGGCGTGTTAGATGAGTTCCCACGTGACGAAGTCCTCCCCTGCCCTACATGGCCCTGGTAGCCAGGCAGCCTCTGGAGGAGCAGAGATTCCCCCGCTGCTTTGGGAGCTCAGGTTTTCAGTTTCTCTTTCCAGCTTAGTGATCCCCTGCTGGGAAAGCAGCCCTCCTTTAGGACATCATTGTGAAAGTCCTCTGGGCCTTCAGGCTCTTGGGCCCTTCTTTCCTGGTAATCCCTAGGCCTGCCAGGTTCCTGTACAACCTTGACCTTGCACCTGGGAGCCTGAGCCTTCAGCTAAGGGTGAGAGTTCTGTTTTTGCTGATCTGGGTATACATATGTCACTTCTGCAGTGTGTGGCCTGGGGCCGGTCTCTTAGCTCCGCAGTGCCTCAGACCCCCTCCTTCCCACGCCTTCGCTCTGTGGGGACAGGAGGGACAAGGGTGTATATGATCCCCTGACAGCGACCTTTAGGCCGGGAACAATGGGCCGCAGTGTACCTGCATCGGCCCTCACTCCTGTCCCCACACCAGTGTGCAGAATGTTTAACTGGGGGCCTTCTTTTTTTTTGGCAGCAAAAGAGATCAAAGGCAGGACCTTGTGCATGCTAGGCAAGCGCTTTAATGCTGAGCTACAGCATCAGGTTTTGCATTTTAAAATATGAAAGTTTCATACCCCATTTCATTCTGCCGCTGAAGCTGTTGGGGTCGGGGGGAGCCTGGAAAGCATAGGACGTGTGAACGGAGAAAGGGCCCTGGGAAAACAGGAAGGCTCCACACAGAGCGTGCACCGCAGCGATGGCACTACGGTTGGTTACTTGTGACAAAGTTAACACAGCGGTAGGGAAATTGGGTACGGCGCCTTGAACTGGATTCCTGGAAAAACACAAAACGAAAACCGGCATCATGGAAAAAATTGGTGAAACCCAAACAAAGTCCAGTGTTTGGCAAACAGTAATGTTCCGATGCTAATCTCTTAGTTACGACAAATGTGACGTGTAAAGTGCTGTGATGCCAGCCTTGGGGAAAGTGGCGAGAGGCATAAAGGACTTCCTGGGCCAACCGCATCTTCTCCCAGAAGAAAAACTTCATTAAAGAAAAAGTAAGCCGGGTGAGATGGCGCACACCTGTAATCCCAGCACTCGGGAGGCTGAGGCAGGAGGATCGCTGTGAGTGAGGCCCCCCTTTGGGGAAAGTGGCGAGAGGCATAAAGGACTTCCTGGGCCAACCGCATCTTCTCCCAGAAGAAAAACTTCATTAAAGAAAAAGTAAGCCGGGTGAGATGGCGCACACCTGTAATCCCAGCACTCGGGAGGCTGAGGCAGGAGGATCGCTGTGAGTTTGAGGCCACCCTGGGATACACAGTGAGACCATCTCCAAATAAATACAAATGAATACATCAAATTAACTAAATAAATGGAGAAAGAAACCAAATTTTAAAGATACCTTCACGGAGGGAAGCCTGGCACATGGCAGGTGGCAAATCTGGGGCAAACTTTTACATCTTTTCCCTAAAGAAAAAGTTTATTGAAGAAGAAAATATAGACCTGTAACCTCAGAACTCTGCAAGGCTGAGGCAGGAGGATGTACGTTCCAGCCCACCCTGGGTAATTTAGCAAATTAGTGAGACCCTATCTCCAATAAAAAACAATTATTACTGGGTTCAATTCCCAGTAGCACACAGGCACAAGGGGTGCTTAGGGACTGCGATGGGTATTCTTATTTTCCACACACACTCGGCTGTGTGTTGGCCTTGCCCAGTGAATGTTCCGGTAATACACAGGTGAGCAAAGTGGAAAGCGAGACCGTGCCCCTTGTTCAGACAACGTACTGCATTCCAGGCTTAGCCCGGCACATCTGACATTTCTAAGATTCTGACAAACACAGAGAACACCCCGACGTCGGTGACCCGCAGTCCCTGTCACTCCGCAGGTCCCCTGCAGACCGCATGCTGCCTGAGGATGGCCGAACGATCACCAGCCACTTCCCCCAGGAGGGCCCTGAGTTATTTCCAGTTTTCCCACACTAGCTCTGTCCTGGTCGCTCCTACACGAGCGTGGGGAGCGTCTGGGGGACAAACGGGGCCGTGGGCGTGAGGGCAAAGGAAAACACTGTCTGTCACCTTACTAGAAAGATGTCCTCTTGTCACCTGAGCCCTAACTGGCACCCACACTCTTCCTGCAGGCCCAGCGAGCACACATCCCGACCCCTGGCTTCGCCCCTCTGGTGATGTCACCGCTGGACCAAGGTGGCCAGGGGGTGGCTACTGTGACATCACAGGGCAGGGCTGGGATGGGCCAGCCCGGTCCTCGGGGGACAGTCTGGACGGCTCATGGCATTTGGCCTGTGGGAGGGGGAGGCACCGCTGAGCCAGGCAGTGTTTCTCGGCCGGACAGCCTCGGGGAGAGGCTACGAGTCATTTTAAAAGTCATGACGTGATCCCAGGGCCTCAGACTGGGAAATGACAGTAAGAGGCAGCGACCCTCTGGCTTTCGCTCATTTGTGCACCGGACACTTGGGGCCCTTTCCACGCTGCTCCTTGTTCCTAGCGCACCGTCCTGATCCACGGGACTTCCCACGGCAGGGGAGGGAGGCGGCGGTAATACAAATACCAGTCAGGGGCCAGCGCAGCGTGAATCAGGGCAAGCGCCTGCCACTCATTCCGGACACGACTGAGGCGCAGAGCAGGGCAACGTCTGCTTCCTCTGCCCAGACTCAATCCTGCTGGGCAGCCACCCCACCCTTCTCCCCCCGCAGGCTTCCCCCGTACCCGCTGTCCCCGTAGCCTGCCGGCCAGAGGGTGCTGCATCAGCGGCAGCTCACACGTCCTCGGCGTGGCCTCCCCACCCCTGGTGGCACCAGTCCTCCACCGGCCCTTCCGCCCCTCCCGGAGTAGCGGGCACGTACGCCGGAGCCCTACACCACGGCCACGTGACCAGCGGCGGGGAACGGAAGTACAGTGTGTCACTTGAGGGTCAGGGTGGCCTTTAGGGGTGCTCCTCTACCCCGTGCCTCTGCTGGGATGTGGCTCTGCAGGACACCCTGAAAACCACGGTCCCTGCACAGCAACATGCGACAGAGCTGTGGCTCCCTCCCCACCAGGGGACACAGAGGCTGGCACGCCCAGCTCACACCCACTCTGCCCTCATCTCAAAAGTCACCCCCAAAGCAGTCATTCTTTGTCCCATCAACCCATTCTTTCAGTGTGAGTGTGAGTGTGAGTGTGAGTGTGTGTGAGTGTGTGGTACGGGGGAGTGAACCTAGAACTTTGCGCTGAGCACCTTCCCAGCCCTTTCTACTTTTAGAGATAAGGTCTCCCTAAGTTCCCCAAACGTGTGAACCTCCTCCCGCAGCCTCCTGAGTAGCTGAAATTATAGGCACGCCCACCGTGCCTAGCACATGGTTCAATTCTACGCATTTTAAAAACCTTGCGCACATTTCCAAGTATCATTATGGGTTTCCTGCCCGACTACAATGGGAACTCCTGCGGGCAGGGCTGCTCACCGCTCCAGCACCTGTGCCAACAGTGGCACCTGGCCTACAGCAGGCACTGGCAACCCAGCCACGTGCCTCAGAGTGCTGGCTCCAGGAAGAGTGGAGTCCACCTAGGGGCTCTGTGGCTCCTCCTCCTCTGAGATCTCCTGGGCTTTTCAAGAGCATCGTGCGGGAGGGGTAGGGATAATTCCGGCTGATCTAGACAGGAGCTGAGGAAGGAACACGGCAGCCTGATGTGAGCCGGTGCGGCCCTCAGCCCCTCTGGGCTTCAGCCACACCACGAGGCGGAAGGCGGGCCTGCTGCCTCTCCGGGAGTCCAGCCTGGGGTCCACCCTTCTCCTTCCTCAGAACCCTGCCCTACCCGAGGCTCAGCCAGCTCTGGCAAGAGGAGACGGTCCTCAGGGAGGGGGCCGACAAACACTTAGCAGGCAGTGCCCCTTCACCCCACTCTTCCCCTTCCTCTTGCTACGTGGACAGCCAGCATGGCCGAGCTCCCAGCGGGCCCAGGCCAGCCCTGTGTACCTTTGTTCCACAACTGGGAACAGCTGAATTAGAAAAAAGACAGCTGCTGCAGGCAGAAGCATCCCTAAGGGTGTGGGGCTTGGCTTAGCAAGCTAACCACAGGCTGCATTCCAGTACCTACTAATCCCCCGGCTGGGAGCAGCCCCGGTCCTGGTCTATGAGGCAACTTGGAGGGTGAAAATCACTTGAAGGCAGAACTGAAAGACAAAAGTAGCCTGGGTCCTTGAGAAGGAATCTCCCAAACCGTTCTGGGGCGGCTTTCCTCCTCTCTTTGCATTTTTTTAAATCATTTATTCTGAAATGACTTCAAAGATTCAGAACAGTTTCAAAAGCCATACAAACAATTCCCCTTCACCCAGACTGGTCATTTGGTGCCATTCCCAGCCACCTGCTCTGCCATCCTCTCCCCTCCTCCCACTGTTTCAGAATCACCGCACAGCAGTTGGGAAAGTCATCCACCCCTCCCCTGACGTCCAGCACATATCATGACCTGTGCTTCTAAAGGAAAACGTGAAATTGTCTTCACACTACTGCTTTTGCTGTTCTATCGTAACTTGCAATTATTATTATTATTTTTTGTTTTGAGACGGTCTGTGTAGCTCAGGCTGGCCTTGAACTTGTGGCGACCCTCCTGCCTCAGCCTCCCAAGTGCCAGGATTACAGATGTGCGCCACCACACAGTCCTTTCAAATTTCAACCGCTACCCTCCAAAACACTCTGCCTGGTGACATTCAGACCACCACCATTCTGCCTGGAAGGAAACCCAGCACTGCGACCAGGCCCACCCCACACACACTTCACTGAGAGTCATACTCAACCGTGACACAGAGGCCCCCATGCGCCAAGGCTGCGCCACCCCTCGCATGCCCATATTTGGACGTGGCCCTGGCCCTGCCCTGTGAGGTCCTGGCCTCTTTGACCTCACAATGTCCTGGGGTCTATAAGAGGCCCAGGGCTCGCCCTGCCTCAGAGCCCACGAAGTTCCACCTCCTCACAGGTTGGCTGGCTCAGCTGAGGCGCCCCCTGCTCTGAGCCAAGTCCGGGCCGAGTCCGCCTCGAGCCATGGCCAGACACAGATGCTGCCGCAGCCCAAGCCGGAGCAGATGCCGCCGCCGCAGACCCAGATGCCAGAGACGGAGGAGGCCCTCCCACCGCAGAGGAAGTAAGGGGAAGGCCAGAGCCGGGTGGGGCGCAGTGGGGCCGGTGCATCCTCTCAGCCATCTTCTCTAGGGTGCGGCCGCCGCAGGTACACACGGAGGTACAGGAGATTCTAACTGCGGGGAGCAAGTCACTGAACTCCTGCGGAGACTTGACCAGACCTCAGGACCTCTCGCCACCTCTTGACAATGCCACCTTGCACTGAAACAGGAGCCTGCTAAGGAACAATGCCGCCTGTCAATAAATGTTAAAGTCATCCCACTCAGGCCTCTTCTTGTCCTCTATGGCTGGGTACAGGGCCGGGCGGACGCGGAAGGGCTCGGGGATGGGGCACAGAAAGGGTGCTGGGAAGGGGGACACGAGTGACGCTTGTCACAGGGATTCTGCGCAAAGCTCAGTGACCTGACACGAGGGACATCTGCTGCCCGAGCTTCCTACGTCTCCGACCCCTAGAGCTGGTCCTCACATCCGAGGGCCACTGTCCCGCCACACGGGGCTGCTGCAGGATCAGAGGGCTGTCAGGGCTTCCTTCCCCCAAGGGTACGCGAGGGTCCCTGGAGCCAGTTCATCTGCTGGCCCCCGGCGGGCCACACAGCTTTAATTCAAAGCTGACATCTGGGCACTCCCTTCGGTTACACAGGGAACAAGTCGGTCGCCATCAGCATCGTGAAGTTCAAGGTTTCCCTCCATTCACCCCAAACTGTTAAGTTTGTGTCTCCATCTGAGAGCAGTGGCCCCAAGTACCTGCAGGAAGTTATACATGGCGCCCGAGACTCCATTTTCAAGGTTTCCCTCCATTCACCCCAAACTGTTAAGTTTGTGTCTCCATCTGAGAGCAGTGGCCACTTGGCCAGGCAGAGGGGAGCTGCCCTGCCCATTCAGTCCCCAAGTACCTGCAGGAAGTTATACATGGCGCCCGAGACTCCAACTCACCCGAATGAGCCGCCTGAACCAATGCCCTTTGCGCAGGGCGCTGTCTGCAGCCTGGAGGACCCGGCGGACGCTGGGTATGCAGCACAAGACTGTTGGAACCAGACGCAAGAAATCCTAGTAGAACTCCGCAGGGTTCCGTGTTGTCTGGTCCCCGCCTGTTCTCAGTCTCTGCCCCATCTCAGCCCCAACCAGGCTGAGACCTTTCCCATGTTGGAGTAGGACACACTGGGCCCTGCCCGCCTCGGGACCTTCGCACTTGGGCCCATGGACCCAGGAACGGGCTAGGAAGGCCTAATCTCAGATCTCACACAGAACCTGTGTCACAGTCACTTCCTGGCACTGGAGCAAGCCAGGGATTTCATCAGGGCTCCGTCAGAGCTCTGGGGCCACCTCCTAAAAGGGATCAGGCCGACCGAGCACCAGGCCTTCGGTCCTCGGCAGCCCCTCGAGGCGGGTGTCAGCACCCTGTGTCCCCAGGTGAGCACCGGCCCCCACGGAGGCTTGACTCTTGGGACTCCCCACACTCCAACAAGGACAGCAAGCCTCTTTTGGGGGGATTCGCTTTTCTTTATTTTGACCATATCTCTACTCATGGAGATGCGAACCTAGCTGGACGTTCATATTTTTATCAATTGCCTGAGGAGAGACCGAGCCCCTTAGGAAGTTCCTTTGTCCTCAGAGGGAGCAGCGTTTAAATTCAGGAATAGCAGTGCCACCCTTCACTCCTGCAAGGTCCCAGGGCTAAGCCTGCTTCCTCTCCTATGGCCACTTTGACAAATCATCACACACTCCGCAGCTAAAGCCAACAGGAGGTTATTATGTCACGGTTCTGCATGTCAGAGGTCCAAACGGGTCTAATGGGGCCGAAATCGAGGTGTCGTGGGGTTCTGGGTCCGAACCTGCTTTCTGGCCTCTCCAACACCTCGCGAGCTGTCTGCAAGGCCAGCAGCACAGCCTCGCTGGCCTCTTCCTGCGCTCCTCCCGCTCCCCACTAAGGGCCTTTGTGATTGCAGGGACCCCGCCGAGTGATGAGGCCACTCCCCATCTGAAGACTCAGCCATGCCGCAAAGTCCTCTCTGCACAGGGCAGGTCAGGGATCACGATGGGGTGCCGCTGGGGAGGGCGCTGTTCTGTCACCGCGTGCCCCCTTCCCTCCCAGCAAGACCACATGCCCTCTGCCCTCCCCCAGAGGGAAACTAGGGCTTCAGCTTCCATGACTCTGCTTCCGGTCTTCGGTGGCTCACCAAGCACAAATGCTACTCAGTGTGCCCAGGCACGAAGCCACCCCCAACACTGGGACTGTGAGGCACGAGAGTCTGCCATGACACAGCACCAAGGAAGTGGGGAAGCTTCCAGAATGGCCGCCTATGAATTCCCGCCGCTCAGCGGGATGAGGGTTGGGTGTGGAGAAGAAGCAGCTTCTTTCTCAGGACCGGGGACACATTTCCGGGCAGGGCCAGGCCTCTGTGCCGGGACAGCAGCCCCTGCCCTGCGCTGCCCTCACAGAGGGTCCTGGGCGGACAGGGGACAATCATGGGCTGGGCGGCCGGGTCACAGTTGGGGCCCCCTTTATATATGAGCCCCGAGCACCCCACCAACCAGACCAACCAACAGCAAGGGCAGGCGGGCGAGCCCCAGCCCTCCCCCCAGGCCAGCTGCAGCCTCAGCCCGGAGCCACCCCTCTCCCCAGCTCCTGGCACAATGGTCCGCTGCTACACGAGGAGCCGCAGTGGGCGCCCGCTCCAGGTGCACAGCCTGAAGTCTGGCGAGGGCCAAGAGCAGGAGCAGAGGCTGAACCCAGAGCAGGAGGAGGCCTGCGGGAGGACACACAGAGGCCGCCAATGCAGGGGCAGGTGCTGCTCTCAGAGGAGGCTGTACGGGATCCATGGACGGCGGAGGCGGCGCCAGTCCTGCGGAAGGCGCAGGAGATGCACCTGTAGGAGGCCACGTCGCCGAGGTCTGCCCGAACCCTGCCCAAACCCTGCCCCACCAACCCCAGACACTGCACCTGTGCTGAATGAAGCACAGCAGAGCAGGAGGGAGGCTGGGATCCCACTGTCTGACCCTAAACCTCATCCCTTCCCAGACCCTACAAATGGCTTCAAATCAACTTTTCCTCCCAAAAGGCTGCAGAAGACGGAGGACAAGTTATAGGAGGTACCACTAAACCTTCCCAGGCCCTGCCGGGGTTATGGAAAAGTCACCTGCCCAAGGAACAGCAGGAGAGGCTGTAACACCCCTCCCATGTTGATACCTTAACCCTGAGTTACCAAGGAGCCCACAAGATCTGAGTAATGAGCACAGTCACATGCCAAATAAAGCTTGACAAAGACCTCAATGGCGGCTGGGTCTCCTTTGTGTGGACGGGCCTCCTGGTGGGCTAGACGAAGCCCTTTCCGGGCCTGGGTGCACGCGCTCCCAGGCAGTGGCTCATCACTTGTCCCGGTGCCTGATCTCAATGGATTTCTACCACTCAGAATGACCAACTCTTCCCACACCGTCCTGTGCGAAACCACGTGCAGACACAGGCACCACTGCCAAAGGACACTCCGTGACGCCCTGAGAAGCATCCCCCAAAGCTTAGGAACTGCTGTCTTTCCAACATTCCAAAGGACACTCCGTGACGCCCTGAGAAGCATCCCCCAAAGCTTAGGAACTGCTGTCTTTCCAGATGTTGGAGGTCCACACTCTCAGGAGCGCTGGGGAGAGCAGGGTGTCCTGCAAACTGAGCACGCAGCAACACCCTGGTCCTACAAGGGTTCTTTTGTTATACGTGGCGCAAGGGAAGGTGTAGGCAGGGCCAAGAAACCCACTACTTCTGGTCCTGCCAGAAGGCTCCCTCGTGCCCCTGGCCCAAGGCAATCACCACTCTGACCTCACCTTCATAAACTATCAGCAGCTCTCTGCTGGGCATTTCTGGGACACTCTAGCCCCTAGTCTCATTCCAGCAGATGAGGCTGATAGGCGGGGGGAGCGCTGTGGCCAAGTTCAGCCAAGGTCAGCTGATGGGTAGCTGAGAGGAGTGGGCCCCAGGAGCCCTTTGTGATGTCAGCACCCTGTGCCGCACCCTCGAAGCCCTGTGCTCCTCCCAGCCACCTCCCCTCCTAGTCTGGAGAGAGCCTCGGAGAGCAATGGGTTCCCGCTGCACCAAGCTCCGCACAGGCCACGGCACGGGCCACGGCACGGGCCACAGCAGGGGCCACGAATCAACTATGAAGAAGCTGCTGGCCTGTGTGAGTCAGGATAACTTCTGCCTGTCATCAGAGGAGGAGGAGGGGGAGGAAGAGGAAGAGGAGGAAGAAGAGGAGGAGGAGCAGCTCCCGGTGAAGAGCAAACTGCTGCTGATGGAGCCCGAGCAGGAGGAGAGCACTGAGGACAAGCCCGAGATCCAGCAGGGCCCTGAGCCCCAGCAGACGCACTCCTGACGCTGGACGGCAGCCCAGTGAGGGGTGCTGACGCCATTCCAGACAGAGCTTTCAGAAAACAGTCAATAAAAAGTCCCCAAGGAACCCTCCTCTCAGGTGTCCCTTCCATAGGTACCAGCAGCGTGTGCGTGTGTACCTGCTCGGGTGTGGGGCTGCAGGCGTGGGGACAGTGGCCTTGTTTCTGATCCTCCCTGCTTCAGGGGGTGGACGGTGGGTAGCCTGGCCTAGAAAGTTGTCTCGAGGCTAGGAAGGGACAGAGAGAAGTAGGGATGGAAAGGCAGTAAAACACAGTGAGGAGGGATCAGCTCCGGTTTTCTATAGCACAGCAGGGTAACTACTTGTCAAAGCAACTTATGTTACACTGAGAGATGCCTAGAGAACGAGAATACCCAACTCCCAACATAAGAATGCTCAAAGTTGAAGACACGGAAACGCTGATCAGTTTGTATCAAATTACGTAACACTGTACAAATATTGTGCCTCAACAAAAAAAATCACTAAAGTGCACACACACACAGAGTCATCTCTCCAGGTGGGGGTCCCTCTGCAGATTCGGGTACAGCACCCAGGGACCCCCTCGGCTGCTCCGAGCACAGACAATGGCGTCTTGAAGAGCAATGGCTAGGGGAGGGCAGCACGCCTGGGTTCCAGCTTCTTTTCTGCTGCCCAACACCTCGAGCAAATCACTGCTTCTGAGGCTCCACCTGCCCCCTCCTGCTTGCACGAAGCCAGCTGCCTCCCATGGCCAAGGCTGGGACATAAACGAGGATGCCAGGAGGACCTGGCCTGGCACGACAGGCATGGTCACGGGGCACCTGGAAGAGGCCTGGCTCCTCCTAAACTGGTTCTCCTGCCACCCTCACACATGGGAGTTCTCTCTGCCCACACAGAGGCTCCATCCTGCCTCCCTCCCACCGGTCCACTGGCTGCAGGGACACCAAGAAGCTGCCAACATCAGCTGTGTACCTGCCCCCGCTCCATTTCCCTCCCATCCAAAGGCAACGGCCGGTGGGGTCTGTGTGTCTCCTCACAGGGCAGTGGGGTGGGGAGTATGTCCAGCGAGCCTCCCGTCTTGGGGGAAGGCTGAGGGCTGGGGGTGGGGCGCACGGGCTGTGGCCTGTGGATGGTGGTGACGGGGGGGGTGGAGGGGCTGTTGTCCCAGGCAACAAGGGACCCTGGCCGGCCGGCCTCATTCTCTGGCCCAAGTTGTGTGAGCCCACCCACCTGCTCACTGGCCGAGCCACGCCAGGCGCCAGGCGGCTGCTGGACAGGGGGCTGGGCGCTGGACAGGTGCTGTGAAAGAGGGGCTGGCCCCCGAGAGCCGGCAGCCACCTCCACTTGAGGGTCGAGAAGTCGGGGGGCAGCAGGGAGGGGTGGGGGCCCAGAAAGACAGCACTGCCCAGCACACTTGCCATGAGAGGCCTGCACAGCTCCACACCAGGCAGCGCCTGACTGCGCGGCACCGCCGGACCCAGACCTCAATGTGGCTCTGCTCCGGATGCAGATGCGCTCTGGGCCTGAGGTGGTTACTCAGCCTCTCTGAGCCTGCTGCCTTGGTAAGACAACCTCTGGGTGCCCCTCGTGGTGCCTTCATCTCAGAGGGCTATGTCGAGTCTGACACTACCAGACACAGAGCTCACATCTGAGAGGTTAAAAGTGTGGAATCAGGGCTTGTGTGGCGGTGCACACCTGTAACCGCAGTACTTAGGAGGCTGAGGCAGGAGTTCAAGGCCAGCCTGGACTACATAGTGAGTTCAAGGCCCCCTTAGACTATATAGGGAAAAAACAAAAAAACAGGCTGTAGTCAAGAGATCCAAAGGGCCCTGCTCCCGACCCTGAGAAGCGTTCTTGTCTCCTCCAGCTCTCAGTGACTGCCGGCTATGGAACAACCTCTCCTGCGCTGTGTGTGGTCTCCTCCTCCTGTCAGTTCTCCATCCCCTGAAGGATACTCCTCAGCAGAAGCAGGGTGCACCCAAGGATGCAGCATGCACTCATCTCAAAACTCTTCAGCCAAAGTACATCTAAAAACCCTTGGTCCAAACAGGGTCACACAATAGGAGTCACACAGACTCCAGGGGTGACCTGAGCACAGATTCGAGGCCACCATTCACCCCACACTGCACGGTCACTGCGGCTCCTGGACAAGACTGCCTGCCCAGTGTCACCAGCACAGTGACCACAAGGGCGATTTCCACCGTAAAGCACTTGACACATTTATTAAGAAACAGCCTCCTATAAAATCCAGCATGGCATACGTACACAATGGGGCAACAAAGTGGGAGGTGGCTTCAGCCTCAGGGAGGAGGAGTGGGGGCCAGACAGGGACCCCAGGAGTACACAAGGGGCCAGTGCCTATGCCTGCGGATGTGGGTGGCTCTGGCTGGATCCCCTGAAGACCAAGTTGGGCGAAGAGCCCCAGGTTCCGGCCAAAGGCCCGGCTTTCCCGAAATGGTGGGGAGTCTGAGCTGGGACAGAAGAAACGGAACTGCACAGTGAGGTTTCATGAGAAGCATCCATGGAGTGAGGAGGTGGGGGGACTCGGGGTCTCCGGGGACCTGGCTGGCATCATAGATTAAGAAGCGTGACAGGGAAGAGGGAAAGATGCCCCTTTGCCACACAAGGAGACCAAGCCCTGGTGACCACGATGACCCGCCTAGATCAGGCATCAGTGCGAACGGGGACTGTGCCCACCCCCGAACCCCTAGACCTGAACCTTGCTGGACGCACACCAGCCGTGCAGTTTCTCGTGTCGTCCAGCTCCTCCGCCAACCCAGCCAATTCCTCGCCCGCTCATCACCCACCTGGGTGGGCACTAAGGGTCCAACTCCCACCCACCACCCACTGACGTCCCCGACGGAAAAGGACAGGTGCAGATAATGCTGAGGGGGCATCTCCGACCCTGAGACGGGCCTGAGTGACTGCTTGACTAGATTGTTTTCCATTTGTTCTTCCAATGCCCCGTGAGGTGGGAAACGGGCTTGAAGAGGTGAGTGCCAGGTCTGGGAATAAGGGGCAGACGTGGTCATGGAATCGAATGCATCAGACCCAGGGGCCAAATGCTTAACCAGCAGGTGGGACAACCTCAGAGTGCTCCTGAAAGCCGCCCCACCCTGGGGCTGAGGGGAAAGGGCAGGGTCTGTCCCTACCAGTCACATCTGTTACCCTTGTGGCCTGTGCCATCACAATCAGCCTGCCTATATAACCAGGAGCTGCGGGCGCCCTGTAAGGCTGGGCCAGCTGGGCAAGCAGGCCCCTCCAGGTGTGGCCTCCAGGGCTAAAGATGCCGAGCCTTCCCACCACCCAGCCCCAGCCCCAGCCCCACAGCTCCTCTCAGCCTCAGAGTCACACCTGCAACCACTGCAACTGCAGCCACCAATGCCAAGACCGCAGCCAGAGTCCACCCAGCCACCAGAGCCCACCTGGCCCCCAGAGCCGGAGCCCCAGTTCCAGCCCCAGTCCACCCCCGCGGCACACAGACTGCCTGGGCACTCCCGCCATGGTCCCATCAGGCCCAGGCTCCACCACAAGGCCTCCATCAAGAGAAAGAAGACCTTGGCAGGGAAGGTAAACAAGGAAAAGGTGACCAAGAGGAGCAAGCGGGGACACAGATCAAAGAGGCGGCGCTCAGGTACTGCTCAGGCAGGTGGGGAGGTTCTGGGCCCAGAGAAACAGGGAGCAGCCCAGCAGGAGCTTCGAGGCACTGAGGTGGAGACCAGTGGCAGAGGAAGCACCGGCAAGGGTGGAGAGAAACCCGGTATAGCTGGTGGGGTGAACGTCCAACACCCCGGTGCCCTGGGTCTTGGGATACATGGGATGGGATGACCGGGAGACAGAGGCTGGGTGGTCAATCGGTCATTAGAAGGTTGGCGAGTAGATGGCTGAGTACAGAAGGGATGGACAATGCACCTGGCGAACGCACTGGGGAAAGTCGCACGGATGCGGTTCACCGTGTGGATGCGACACCCTCGAGGATAAATGCTTGAACTGACGCATGGGTGGGCTGGGCAACTGGTTAGATGGCTGAACCGACTGAATGGAAGGCCTAACACATAGGAGAGAACAATGCTGGATGGATGCCATGAGCGAACTAAGGCACGGGTGGATGAAAAATGGAGGATGGATGGATTCACGTGTTGAAAAGACCTTGATGACAGTCTGAGCCCTGGGTATCAGTGTCCGTGCTCAAGCACAAATGTGTGGTTAAGATTAAAGGATGGAGTTCAGTGACAACAGGAACTGCTTAGCTATTGAAGGCCTCTTTCCCATTCCCCCTAGACCGAAAATACAACTGATGAGACAGCACTTTCTGGCTTGTTCCTGTATCATTTTCACCCAAAGGACAAATGCTATCCCGTGTGGGATGCCTCGATAAAGACCATCTTTCTGCAGGGACACATTGCCATGGTGATTTCTAAGCAACAATGATTAATAAACTTGTACCCAGGAAAGCTATTCTTGAGCTAGCATTTCAATTTCCCTAATAAAGGTGTCACATGTTTTTCATGTCGTTACTGCGTTTGATTTGGTTTGACTTGGTCTTTTGAGACTGGATGTCACTGTAAGTCAGCTTGTCCCATGTAGCCCAGGCTTGGCCTCAAAGTCTCTACAATCCTGCCTCGGCCTCCTCAGGGCTGGGGTTACAGGTGTGCGCCACCACACCTGGCTGGCGTCACATGTTTTAAGGCCTAGTTTGGAAGCACAAAGTAGGGACAAAACAAGAGCCCGGACATCCCTGCAATGGGATCCTAGGAAAGTGTTAACCTGCCAAAAAGCCTCCTTCCTCTCTGGGCCACATCTGGTTGTGAAAAGATCACTAAAGGTAAGATACCTGCTCTTAGAGACAGGGTTTTTCCTTCACCGAACGAGGCAGATGGAGTGGTCACGTGTGGTTCATGGATCCACATTTAACCTTATGTTCCCGGAAGCCACTATTTGGACAAAAGTGGTATAAACACCCACACACATGAGCCATTCGCATCCATTCAGACGCCTGTGCTAACACGTGGACCCTGATGCTCAAACATACATGCTGACGTGCGCACACACACACACACACACTCACAGCACTCACAGCACTCACCCTCCCTCAGACACAATGAGAGGAAAAATGTCAAGCCAGAGACTCATCACTCATTCATCCTTGTGCTCGGTCTGAGGTGTGAGTGAGGTGGGGGCCGGCCCACTGGAAACCCAAATTGAGAAAATGAGAAACACGGTAAATTCAGCCACCGAGGGAGTTTGAGGATTATGAAGGGGACTTATTTTTTAAAATTGGTCCCTGTCTAGAATACAGAGTGATTATACTCACCAAGGGGAGTTGGTACATGCACATAATTTGGCTTTTGAAAATCTCCTTTCCTCCTTCTCCCTCCCTCTCCCTGCACCCTTTAATCCCTCCCCAAATATGTATTTCTGTGTTGTGGTACATAATGGTCACGTTCCTCGCAGGGACTCTGCACATACGAGCAACACACACTTCACAGCTCTGAAGGGCACCTGTCTGGACTCAGGTGGGGTAGAGGAGGTAAGTGAGGTCTGGAAGATAATGAAACACAGCCTGGGCCATCGCTCAAGCACCGCGAGGAAGCCTGGGCCCCAATCCACCGCGGGAAGGAGAACCACGCCTGCTCCCAACCCAGCCACCATCGCTCAAGTGCCGGGAAGGTAGCCACGCGGGTGCCCCTGAACCCCCATAAGTCGTCCCCCCGACCGCACTCTCAGACCTCCTGTGTCAGTCTTTGGACCCACTCTGCAGAGGCAGAGGTGGTCATCAGGGGTATTTTTCTGAGTTCCCAACTTTGAACATCGTTAAAGAAAGGGTGTGGGAAACCTGTATAGAACGTTGTGGAGTTCAACCATTCAGAAGGTTCGGCAACCCATTCTGGGCCTTGCAGACTGAGGTCAATCAGCGTCATGGGGTTCAGCCATCAGCTAACTGAGACCAGGGGTCTTGCATCCTCGCTCTGTCTGAGCCATTAAATGGTAAATACACTATGTTGAAATTTTGTTCACTGCAGACATGTTCTGGACTGCTTCTTGATTTCAATTTAATTCAAATGATTTAAGGGTGATAGACTAGTGACTACCACAGGTGGTCAGTGTCCAAGTTGTGCTTGATCTTACTGTGTTGCTGATTGTATCAGTTGGGATAAAGCATTGCGGATGATTTGATGAGCTGTTTTCTCTGATGTTATGAAGATGAGAATGTCTGTGGGTCGTTAGAGACACAGAATCTAGGGCGCAAATGTATGAGGAAGATTTGGGTGATAACCCACAGATTAAACCAAGGACAGCCCAACAACAAAAATAAAAATGAGAAAACACTTACACAGATCAATCAAGCTCTAGAAAAATTCAAAACAGAGATAATTTCCCAGATAACCATAGAGATAGTTAGCAAAATGGAAGTCACGATTCGAGACTCTAGAGCAGAAACTGACAAAAAAATACATGAGCTCAGGACCAT